TCAAAATAAAAACTCCCCCATCACCAAGTGGTTCTAGGCAGAAGCCTTGTAACATCTTACGCCCCGATCCTGGCCGTAATGGTAAGGTGGCAATGAGGGGGGCTCAGTAGACCAAGGGCCTTGCACATTTTGGACACTCAATAAATGTTGAATGAACTAACTTTGAAGGGGGTGAGTGCTGGGAGGGGGAAGACAGGGGCTTGGGTTTGTAGGGCTCTAAGGCTGAGCTCCGTTCCACACATTTTGGAGGAGATAGGAGAAGGAGGGAGGGCACGGCTCCCCCCACGTGGGCATCTGAGGCAAAGAAGAGGATGGCGGAGGTTGCAACCACTCAACCACAAGGGTCCCCTAGAGGGTCATGGTCTCTAGGAAGTTTATATGAAGCCAATGAGCAGGAGAGAGGTGTATGCAGTGGGGGGGCACATCCCCCGGCGGTGGGGCTTGAGGGGCTGGCTGGGGGCTCTGGGGGGAAGATGAAAGTGTCTGTGAGACCACAGACTGTTGCTGTGGTGGGGCTGTGCCCTCTTCCTCTCCCCAGTCTCACTCCTCATCCCATCTGGGGGGCCAGGGCAAGGGCAACAGGTACCTCAAGGGCTCTGAGAGTTTGCGAGTGTGTGTGTTGCCATTTTGGTTCATGGTTCTCTTAGTCTCTTTTGATCTTTTTTGGTCTACTGCTCTGGGCATGTGTCTTGCCTTCCACAATGTCTTCATTTCTTTCCCTCCAACTCGACCTGGTTTGTAGAGCCTTGGACCTGGTGTGGGATTGGGGATTGTGTGGAGTGTAGCTAGCTGCTGCTTGAATGAGCTGCTCTGGGTCTCTCCCTACCTCCTTCTTTCCCTCTCATCCTCAGTCATCCTCCCCTAGGACCTCTGCATTTCTTAGAATCTCTCCTTTTCCCTTCGTCCACCCTACAGCCATCCCCCTTGCCTCCACCTTCGGCTCCAGGCTGTGCTCTGCAGGCTCCCTTCACATCAAAGCTTGTTGAAAGCTGCTTTCCTGCCAGAGGCCTGGATGCCTGTTTATAGGCACAAAGGGGCTAGAGCTTAGTGGCCCCTGGAGGCGGAGATGAAAAAGGAGAGGCAAGGGGCACTGTAGGCAAGACCAACAGAGCCAGAATTGGTTCCTGGCATATGAGGCCGAGAGGAAGAGAGATACAGATGCGGGGAGTTGAAGACAGGAGGCATCAGTGTGGACAGGCACAGAGACAGAAGTGCACAGATGTGAGCGGAGAAATAAGAAGAGAGAGAAAGAGGGAGAGAGAAAGAGAGATGCCAGGACCTGGGGGACCAGCAAGCCCTCCCAGCCTCTCTCAAGTGGCTCTGGTGTACAGGATGCTACTGTACTGGGGCAGAGCGCCTCTGGGGAGGATGAGGAAGTGGGAATCAAAAGCCAGCTCTCTGGGGCGGCAGCGGAAGCCCAAGTTACCAAAGCAAGCAGCAGCTGGAAACCCATAGCCTCCTCCACCGAGCTGAACCCTGGTTGAGTTGGCACAGTATAAGGAGCTGGAGGCGGGGAGGTGGCCCTCTGCACAGACCCTAGGATCCTGGTGTGGGAAAGAGATGACCACCATTTGGGGAAGGATCAAAAGGTCCCTAGCCTTCCCGAGGCATCTACACTGAATTTAGACCCCAGGGAAGGGATATCCCAGACAGAGACTCCTATACTCTCTTCTCACGAATGACAGTGAGTCTGGGACGGGGGGACAGTGGGAACCACTCTTAAATATACTGCACTGTCTCCCCGCAGCCTTCCCCTCAGCACCCCTGTGCCCCATGCTCACTTGTAAACAACTGCACCCATGACTAGCCTCTTTTCTCCTTTTCTGGAAACCTTCTTGATCTCTTCACTTCCTATTTCCCTGGTTACAAAAAAAAAAAAAAAATTCGATCAGGGGTGCCAGTCTGGTTCAGTCAGAAGAGCATGCAAATCTGGATCTCGGGGTCACGGGTTCAAGCCCCAAGTTGGGTTTAGAGGTTACTGAAAAAATAACCTTAAAAAAAAATTCTATCAAGCCCCTACCTTGTGTTAGGCCCTGGGAAATTCCTCTTTCGGGCAGATGGAGTGACTGGAGAAGGATTTTTCTTTTTTCTGTCTTCCCTGAAACCTCATTAGGAGGCCCAGGACCCCAGAACCCATCTGAGTACTTCATCCCTCTCATGGGTCAGTGCCTAACAGGAAACAGAATCTGCCTCAGATGGTTCAGAGACTGCAGGAAGGGGGTTATTTACAGAGGTGTGAAGGGGGAACCAGCCAGCACGTGGAGGCACACAGGCATCAGCAGTAGCAGGCAGGGTCCTGGAGGGGCAAGAATGAAATGATGTTTCTGGAACCCAGTGAGGGTGTGAGCTGTGGATAAAGGGCCACGTGACAGGAGCTATAGCTGAGGCATGGGGAGAGGAAGGGGGAGGGAGGGAGAATAGCCATTGCCAGAAAGTATGCCACAGTAGGAACAGAGTAGGAAAAATACCCCAACCTCTTTCCTTGACCCTCCCATCTCTTGTGGGTTCTTCCCACTAGCCAACCCCAACTAGTAGCAGGAAGACAAGGGAGCCTGGGCAGTAGAGTCTGCAGAGGTCAGCCTCCTTGTAGAGGGCAGGGCAGAGAGGATGGAGAGTGGCTCAGGGATGGGGGGGAGGGGTGGTGGGTGGCGCACAAGAACAGGTAGCACGGGTTGGATGATTTGGCTTCATCCAGGCCAGGGTTGGGTGTGTACACGCCCTTAAATGACCCACTTTAGTAACAGAATTAATATGTTGAGTACAGAAAGAAGAAATCAATGATTTTCCCTCCTCCATGCAATTCAAGTTGGTTTAAGTTAACCAAACACATCCCAAGTCCCGCCCCAAGTCCGGGGGCTGGCTGGACTATCATCTGGAAGAGATCAAGCGTCGAGGGGGAGAGATGGGAACCCGAATCAGGGCATCATGAGGTGGAAGAGGGAACGTGCCCTCAAGGGTGTCACCTGGGTGCTGTGGGGAGTTCAGACTGGGCAGCTAGCTGCAGCACTCATACAGCAAAGGCTGGACGGCGGGGAGAGAAAAACACATCTGGGTGCGGGATCTCATCTTGCCAAGCTCTGGACCAGGTTCGCGCTGACACTGCTCCCAAAGCAGCCACCTTTCTGAGGCCCACTTACAGTCTGGAGGGGGAGCTCAAAGATATGAGCCCTGTTCCTGCCCACCTTCCAGACATCATCTTCCTCCAGTCTCCACTCCCTCCATGTCATCCGGACCCCTTCCTAAAGCTCCACATAGACCATGTCACGTCTCTGCTCAAAAGTCAGCCGTTCCTCCCAATCACCTGCAGAACCAAGCCCTGACCTTCTAGCCTACCTGTCAGGATTCTCGATCAGGCCTCCAAGCCCTTCCCTCATCCCACCACCTCACTTCCTGAGCCCCCTCTAGACCCCCAGCCCAGATCACAACCCTGCAGCCTGCCCCCCTGCCTGCCCCCCTGCTGCCAGGTGGGGTGCCCCTCCCCTTTCCTTTCCATCTAACTCATGGTTTGCAAACTTTAGCCTGTGCCAGTCACCCAGGGGTTTGTGAAAACACAGCCCACTAGACCCACCCCCAGTTTCTGACCCAGCAGGTCTGGGGTGGGGCTTGAGAATTTGCATTTCTAACAAGTTGGTAGGTGACCCTGGCACCGGCTGATCGGGACCAAACTTTGAGAGTCGTTGCTGTAACCTAGGGCTGCCTATTGTTCAGAGTCCATTCAGAGCCTGTCTACACCCCTCCCGCCTCCCTTCCCCTGGTCTTAACCATCTCAGGTGCTCCCAGAAACCAACGCTGAAATATCATTTTTCTGCTTTCTCTCGGAGGCCTTACAGGGTTGATCTGACAGTGAGCAGGGAGATATCCTCTGCTTCCTCTCTCCCTCACCCTGCACACTGCACCTGGCTCCAAGTTCTGAGAATTTTCCCTCAGATGTGCTCCTCAAGGCAATCTTTTTTTTCCACATTTCCATAGTTCTCAGTTGTCCGAGTTTAGGCCTGTCTTCTCTCACCGGGATTGTTGCAATCCTGCCTCCTGGGCTCAGCCTCCTCCAACTTGTCTTTCTTAGAGGAGCTGAGAAATTGCAAATTGAAACAATCTGCAAATTGAATCATCCTTTATTATTTCTTTAATAACAACTTAAATTTTTTTTTAATGTTTATTTTTTTGAGAGAGAAAGCGAGAGAGAGAGAGAGAGAGAGAGAGAGAGAGAGAGAGAGCATGAGCAGGGAAGGACAGAGAGGGAGACACAGATTCTGAAGCAGGCTCCAGGCTCTGAGCTGTCAGCACAGAGCCCGATGCGGGGCCCTGAGATCATGACCTGAGCCTAAGCTAGCCACTTAACTGAGCCACCAACATGCCCCAACAACTTTTCTTTCTTTTTTTTTTTTTGTGTTTATTTATTTTTGAGAGACAGAGAGACAGAGCATGAGTGGGGAAGGGGCAGAGAGGGAGTCACAGAATCCGAAGCAGGCTCCAAGCTCTGAGCTGTCAGCACAGAGCCCGATGTGGGGCTGGAACCCACAAGCTGTGAGATCATGCCCTGAGCCGAAGTTGGATGCTTAACCAACGGAGCCACCCAGATGCCCCGAATCATGTCCTTCTTGACATAAAATCCTTTACTGGCTCCCTAGTCCCCAGGGTCACGGCCCAGCATCCCAGCATGGTGTTCAAGGACCTTCATGACCTGGCCTGGTCCCCCCTGTCTCCACCCCCATCAACTTGCCACCTTCTCTGTGAATTCTTTCCTGATTCCACTTGGCAGAGAACTCACCCCCAGCCTGGGCACAGCATCGTGTGGCGTGTACTGGTGGCCGTCTGTTTACAAGTATGGGCATCTAGGTCCCTGGCTCGGCTGTATGGGTGCATATCACCCATACAAGTGCATATCACCCCTGTGTGCCTCAGGCCCAACAAATGCCTGTTGACTGATAATTATTATCTCCCTCAGGCCCTGCCCTTTGTGCACGAAAGCCCGGGACCCTGCCTGCCTCAGCAAGGCCACAATGAATCAAGCAGCTGCTTTTAGGCACCTGTTCCTGGTGCTGCAGTTGGGTGAGTGCTCAGACTTGGGGTCCCAGAGCGGGGAGGGGCTGATTGGGAAATGCAAAGGTGGGGGGATGGGGTGAAGGATGGGCAGTAACAGTCTTGAGGCCTGACTTCCCCCTTTTCCGTCTAGTGATGCTCGAAGCAGCTGTCCCTCAGGGAAAGGAAGTGGTGCTGGGGAAGGCAGGAGGCACGGCAGAGCTGCCCTGCCAAGCATCCCAGAAGAAGTACATGACCTTTACCTGGAAACTTTCTTCCCAGGTCAAGATTGTGGAAAGTCAGAACTCCATCTTTTGCCTTACAGGTAGGATGGCCCAGCTCCTCATCGGGAGAGAAAAACACTATGGCCTGAACATCCCTGGTGTCAGAGCCCTGCTCCTAGTAAACTCTGATCCCAGGGGGTTGGGGTTGACAGAGACTCAGGGACTCTCTCTCAGTCCAGAGCTTCCCTGGGCCAACAGCAGGTGGCCGAGGGAATGGCTTTTGGTGGTCTGTTATCGTTTCAGGATTTTAATATGAACAGACTTATTTTAACGGATGTCAGAAAAATAACCTCGAATTTCATGGATATTACTGTTACAGACCCATGATGATGTGTTGTTTACTTCCATTAAAAGCAACAGAAGTGGGGCGCCTGGGTGGCTCGGTCGGTTAAGCGTCCGACTTCGGCTCAGATCATGATCTCACGGTCTGTGAGTTCGAGCCCCGCGTCAGGCTCTGTGCTGACAGCTCAGAGCCTGGAGCCTGTTTCAGATTCTGTGTCTCCCCCTCTCTCTGCCCCTCCCCTGTTCATGCTCTGTCTCTCTCTGTCTCAAAAATAAATAAACGTTAA